GGGGGGGGGTCTTCGACCTGAAAAATCAGGGGTTAGGATTTGCACCCGGTCGAAAGAAACCTTGCTATCGCAAGAGTAACTCCAGCTAGCTTCGCTAGCTTTCGTGATAAAAATAAAAAGGTTGGAGGTCCCGGACTCATCCTCATCGATCCTTCCATCTCCATCCTGGTCGATGCTATCCTCGGAGCGACTGCGACGGCGACGGACTGCGACGGACTGCGACGGCGCGACGCCCCCGCAAGGTGAAGGCCAAAAAGCCTGAGACGCGAGCCAATAACATCTGAATGTCACCTCAAAAGAAGCTGCCGGAGCTGGGAGGCGTTTTTGGAGGTCATTGGTCGGGGTTGGGAGGAACAGTCTCAGTATCAGCGACTGTCTCTAAGCTGGGCTCCACACTGATGTCCCCAAGCTGATCGATGGCCTCGAAGGCTTCCTTCAGCCTGAAGAATAGAGGGGTCGATGCCAAATACCACGTACCTATTGGTTGTTCACTTATTGGGAGTATCCCCGTCCATAAATCACCCAACTTTGTGATAGGAAAAGGCCTTCTATGAGGAGCATCCTGCTTGGGTGTCCTGGCCTTCACTGCCTGACACCATGGACCGTTGGAGCATTTGATGGCTGTCTGAAGGGGCTGTGCATTGACCTCGACATTCTAGAGTTCACCAACCAAACCAGCGCCCCCCTTCTTCCAAACCCTGCCGGCCACATGAGACCTCGGTCCCTCCAGAGCCCGTCCCACGCACGGCCACGGCGCTCATCGCGCGCCTCTCGGTCGTGATGTAGCCGGACCTGGCCAACGAGGGAAGGTAGAACTTCGATCGGGAAGATGGAAAGAGACCTGATGGCTTTCACCCTACCAGGACCCGAGTGACCTCCCAGGTCACCACCTGTGACTTGGGTCGTCTACTTGTAAGCCTCCATTTCGGAGACCTGGCAGGTATGGGGTGCTGGTATTTCACTTCGGGGAGGGAAATGATGGAATACTGCGAATGAGGACAACGTCCAGCCGCTTCCCGTCGGCGGGACAGTGATTTCCACCCGTGGGTCTCTTCCTTTACATCGATGACCCAACAAGGGTCGATGAAATTCTCCGGAACACTTCAGCGCCCAAAACTTCAGTGCGTCGAGACTACTCTACTGAACTGCGTGGACGTCTCGGCCCGTGACGTAATACGGACTCACCGGTCACCTCCTTCCGTTGCGGAACTCGCTATCCCCGAGCGACACGTGACTCCTCCGTTCGATGGGTCGACTTCCAGACCGTTTCGGCCAGAACGGAGGGGTGAGGTCAGAACGGTGAGTCCTTCGTTTGCGGACCCACCCAGACGTGAAGGAAGTCGCAGCCGGACCCTCAAATCGTGAGAAGTAGGGACCGGTCGGGCTGGTGTTCACGGAGCGTTTGGGTCGTCCTTTTGTCTTGGACGTCACTCCTCAACGCCCGAGCACCAAAGCCGGCAAGTCACTCATCCTTAAAAGACTCGAACGCAACGTCGATAATCTCCTGCCAAGTCAAGGATGTCACGTTCAATGTGTGAAGTGCCGCCGCAACTTTTGAGGGAGACTCATTCTTCATCTCAAAAGACCGGTCTGAGGGAGCACCGGGTGGTCTTCGTTTCACTAGAGAGGCTGCGCCACAGCTGGCCTTCTCTTGTGGCGTGAGCTTGGAGCTGAACCTGGCACCAAACATCCCGCTGTACGTGGGCCTCAGATCGGCGATCGGCGTCGCAATCGGCTTCCCAGCTGCAGCTGGAGGTCCTCCAGCCGGAACGCCACGAAAACACATGTTGTCCTTTTCTTTTCGAAGCAAAAAACGTACGGTAACATTGCTGAGTACCAAAAAAGACTGCAAAATCCACCAGAACCTGGTTCAACTGAATTGGTTCCATGCCGGGATCCTCCGGGTCTCCCGAGCGCCGCCAGCCCGCCCGACGCAGAGCCAGGCCCCCTGCCACGCCACTTCGCGTGGTCAACGGTGTGTTTGGGATTTTGGGACGGGTTGGCAGGGCTGGGCGTCTGCGGTGTTTTAGGTGAGGAATGGAATGGCAAGGACTTTTGGAGGGCTCCTCCCTGGCAGGAAAACAAAAAGGTTCAGAAGAGCATCTACTTTACTTTGTCTACTTTCTCTGGACTGCGTACTGTGGGCTGGCGGCGTGACTTTGTGTTTTGAAATGAAAAGGCTACACGAGTCACAGCAAGCAGTTGAAAGAACCCGGAGAGTTTTGGAACAAGGTAGGAAGCAACGAAGCAAGCAAGCAAGCAAGCAAGGAAGGAAGGAAGGGGTCATACACTGGAATCCTGTCCATGTTCAAGGGAAACCTTTCTGTGGTCTGATGCTGCTCATCTCCGCCGGACCAGGGAAGCCGCACCAGATTCCCCCAAACCCCAAACCAGGCCCAACCGGTCCCTTCGGGTCCGGCCGGACCGGAGCTCCTCCGGTCCGTCCGGGTCCGTCGCGGGAGCAGAGCGGAGCGTCGTTCACTGGAGCCCTTTGGTCTTCATGTCAACACTTCGGTGCCAAAGATCGTCTTTGACTGGACTGGACGGACGCTGGTTCCTCGGTTTGATCGGAGTGTCGCCAGGTCATCAACACATGCGTCCGGGCAAAGCGACCCTCCGCGGCGTTCGGACGCCAAACATCAACTGGACCCTGCGTGAAAAGTAGCGGCCTGGAGGGGGCCTGGGAAAGCGGCCTAGCTATTTGAGGGACCAGGAGAAGGCTGAGTGGAGCGTTTGGGTGGAACTCTTCCTGGAAATCATTGAAATACAATCCCTTTTCCCGTCGATGCAGGCACGTTCGAACGTTTAATAGGGATTCCCAGTGCTGGAACCCCTTCCACCTTCATAACCCCTACGGCTTGCCGACCGGAACATGAAAACAGCGACCCTTTGATGTGTCCAGGGTGGAAGCCACGCCTGTCTCCTTCGTTTTGGACCTTTTGGAGGGCTCGAGGTTTCTCCTTTTGGATGGTCCAAGCACCAACAAAACCAGCGGCTGTGGTGGCTGTTTCAAAAACATGCCGAAAAGGGCGACATCGTCATGCCTGGGTTGAGAGAAGGTTCGTGAGGAAGCACATGAAGAACGGTATTCTGATATTCTCATCAGTCGGATTCTCAACTCACTTTTCAACCTGCTTCATGCCATCAAAATGGTTCTGATCTATGAACTCAGATGTCAAAACGCGCTGACTGGGCAACCGACCGCTATATGGCATCGGCATCCTGGCATCAAACTCAAGAAATGCCCACCAAGCATCGTCAAAAACCAAAGCAATTCAAGAATTAGAAAACGGTGTTCTTTCCTGAGAGTCAAGGACTCACAAAAGACTAGTCTTCAGGGCACTTTAAAGGGAAGTTCCTTCACTTGACTGAGGCAAAATACAATTATATAGTTTTTCACTCAACTTCTAAGGTAAATGTAGCAGAAGCTCTGTACATCCTGGCAATAGAAAACTATACTGGTCTATGTGGGAAGTTCTTCCTGCATTCCCGAAAACCATGCTTATACGCGCCTGGGTGACCGTGAAAATGTTTCCGCCGTCAAAGCACGGCACAGGTTGAACCACAATGACTGCGGTCTCAGGGACGAAAGATGAAGAGTAACTTTTTTATATTATGATGATAATAATAATAACAAACTCCAGCCATCATTCCGATTGCCCAAAAAAAGATAAAAAAAACACTCTTGTCGTTTCTTTTTCCGCTGATCAAAAGAGGGAAACCTGCAATGGTTCCCAGCTTTCCGAGACGGGCTCTAGCATGATAAGACACCCACTATGTCATGCAGGAATGTCTTGCTTCAACAGTCACTTCAGGTTTTGCAGCCTACAGAACAAGTCTAGGGGATCCATGAGGGCCTTGAGCGCGGCGGTGCTTTGGAACTGGACGACGATTTTGTGTGCGACAGGTTGGAACGAAGCACTTGGACGGTTGGAACAGGGTTGGAACTCGAGTTGCTTAGCTCTGCAGAGCGAATGGCAGAAGTGACAATTTCGCTGCTCTCCTGACCACCACTGGTGTCCATGCATTCAGTGTCAGACTCCACTGCGAAAGTGCTCACGACACTACATGGATGTGGAGCATGCCACCCAAGCATCCTCATTTAGCTGAAACCGAACAGACTCCTTGATAAGGGATGTCAACATACCATGCTTTGGTGGCTTTTCAGTGCCATGACTCACAACCTCAGCACATGGGCATGGAGCGACGGCAAAGATCAAGTCACTTGGGGAGAACCCAAAACGGTCCACGAGACGAGTCTGGATGTAAGAAATGGATGAAATCTGGAGCTGCTTCTTTGGTGCACCATTCCACACCATGTCTCAAGTCGCTCCTTCCCACATCTTACTTCGACAACTCGGGGAGCACCGTCCGCGTAGCGTCGCGCCGCGGGGGGGCGAACTCGCAACTTCCCGTGGCTCTCAGTGGAACTCCTCCGGAGTCACATGGAGTTGGGTGGCTTTGGCTCGTCCCCAATGAATGGATGCGACAGGGGCACCCCCAGGTGGTATCCTCCGTCCGGTTCGGTCCCCCAGCCCTTTGGTGACTCCGCTTTCCCTCGCTCGGTGCCGTCGTTTTGGTCGAACCGAAGCGCGCTCGGTGCCATCTCTGGGGCTACAAAAGGAGTGTCGTCCCCAGCGCAAGCGTTTGTTGCACCGTTTGGAGCAAGCTCGAAAAGCCCCAGGGAGCTCCAACCGGGAGAGCCTTGTCTCACCCGAAGTTTCAGAGTGTTCCCCAAAAATGGATCAAGCATTGGCCATGTGGCCATAATGGTTTGGAGAGCCTTGACTGCTTCAAACTCTTGTAGGCTCACTCTACCATTCACAACCCTTCAAGCATCAAAACATTTCGTCCCTTCACTTCACCTCCTCTTCCAGCTCTCACTCCTCTCACTCCTTCACCACGCTGGGTCGTGCAGTTCGCTCCTTCCTCGGCCCAAGGAGTTTCGCCCCTTCCTGGAGTTCGCCTAAGGAGATCCGCTCCAGTAGCACCAGGGCCATCGGCTCCGAGTTGCTGGCGAAGAGCTTCCCGCCCGCGATCTGGGGCACCAGGAAGCCGTGAAGGACATCGGCCCAGACGAGGTCACCACTGTTGGGCAAGACGCCCTCCACGTCGTACTCGACGGGGCGGTTCTCATCGTTGTTGTTCAGGAAGATGAAGACCCTCTTGTAGATGGAAACAAAGCGACTACTGATTTTCCGGCTGAAGATGAGATGGTTTTCGCTGCTGGCCTCGACCTTCATGTTGCTGGTGTGTAAGCCGAGAATCCGCCGCACATTGTTCAAACCCTGTAGAAAGGTATACCCTGGAGTGGTGGTTGAGAAGCCAGCATTCCACATCGGAGGGTGCGTCTCCTTAAAGAAGTGTTCCGTGCCATAATAGATGATTGGAATCCCTTGCGTCAGCATGGTCCATGCGAGAGCATTCCTCATCCGGGGCATGGTGCTACTGCAGAAGTAGGCCAATCTTTTCATGTCATGATTGTCCACAAAGTTCCCCAAGAGGTTCAAGTCATTCACCTGTCCTGGGTTCAGCTCATACTCGACCTTCATGCTCTCTCCAAGGCGGGTCAAGTTTAGGTTCGCACCGGGGAAGAAGGGCATGCCACAAAAGCCGGTGGTGGCGGCATTTTGGAGGTAAAAGTTCAGGAGACCCTTCAACACCGGCTTTTCTGCCGAGCTCTCACCAGGCGAGTAGGACTTGAAAAAGCTCCAGTTGCTCGCCGTGACCTGCGACTTAGTCAGATGAAAAAGGAGGAATGGGGCGGTTTTGGTTTGGATTCAGCCAAAGCCTGGTTGAGGCACTGATCAATCTAGAGCTTTCTAGTGCATGTCCCCGTGTTCGACATGTTCGGCGTTGTAGGTCGCTGTGGAAGAATTCTGCTGTGTAAATTGCTCCACAAATCCCATACTTCCCACAGTCCAAACCCCATGCCCCCATGCTGCATCAACCACAACACATCAAAAGGGGTATCAAACGATAACAACAACGCCAGCAACCGCGGGCAATGAACATCAGCTTGCCCGAGGTGAGTGCCACACCCATCCTCACCATCCTCACCAAATTCTCAGATCTAGCAGAATCTAGCATGATGTAATGGATTCATTGAATTCGTCAAATCCAACTCACAAGTAGAATGGAAAAGCTGGAAAGTTTCAATCATCCAGTGACTACTCACCTCCAGCAGTCATCCCCCTCGACAGCTCACCAAGCGATCTGTTCTCTCAACCCTCAGCTCTCAGTCGGTGTTTCAACAGGAGTCCACTCTGAGCCTTTCTTGAAAAGAAAACGCATCTCAAGAAATTCCACTTTCCATAAATCTTCATCCCCATCTATCATCTAGACCAGATTCTGCCCAAATCCACCTCATCCATGCATGCCTTGCAAACACCCGGCGGGCGGCGACTCCCCCTCGCCCTCGTGAAAAGCCCACCTCCCCGAGGATGGGAATCTCCACGGCGTCTTGGAACTCCGAGAGGAAACTCTTGTAGACATAGGGTGCCGTGTCCAGGCGAAAGCCATCCTGGGAGACCACCCGGCACGTGACCGGTATATACCGTATACGTCAACCGGGGGAGTTTCGTCCTGGGTCCCTGACGTCCACAAGGCGGCTACATGGTGGGGACATTCTGTGGGGGGCGGCGAAACGGGTCCAGTGAAACAAGGGGAACCCAAGCCCTAAAAAATTCGTCTTCGTACCTTCTCAGGTACGGTGAGCTGCGAGACACTGTTATGTTATGCAGGTTTGGAGGGTGCAGTAGTACCGAACCTGAGAAGGTACAGTACTTAGATCTTAGGGAAGGAATGAAAGACAGGCATCTGCGATATGAGGGTGATTGGTCGAGGGATTGGCCCAAAACCGAGACCTGGTGACACCCAAAGCGGAAGATGTGCACCTGCGAGTTGGGCCCTTTGGGAAAGGCCAGAGGAGCATGACATCTTTCGGTTTTCGGCTTTGCACCTCCGCCCGTGAGGTGAAAGTCAGTACCCTCAGTGAAGGCAACTTGGCTACAACGACCCTGACAGCTGGTGGGAAACCCTCCAAATAGAAGCGTACCGAAGAAAGCCACGCCAGGCATGGCTAGCCATGCCATGAACAAAGGCAACGCTCAAAAACCGTGGTTCAAGCGCAGCATGGTTCGTTCGCTTGGTTCCCTCTCCATGGCCGAGCATCAATGTGATACGTGTCCTTCATGTACCTTGGATCCGAACCAAGGCAACGGAACCCGTCTCGGCTCTACGGCGGGGCATCGGAGGAATCGATTTTCGGAATCGACGGTAGAAGCAAGAAGGGCGCATCCCAGGAGAACCGGTTTTTTCTGAACCATCGGAGCCCCAAGCCGGAGCCCAGGCCGCTCGTGTGTGCCCTTGATTTCGGGACAAGGCACTTGCCCCATTTGATGAGCTCCGAGCTCACAAAGTGGTGGGTCTGATTGAGGTCGCCCAGGTCGTAGAACCATCCTGAATCGCTCAGCACGGTCCGCGAAAAAGGGAAGCTCCGCGTCGCCGACTTCGTGGCGGCCGTCGGAGACGACCGAAAAACCTGGATGGATCCGCTTCGCTTTTAGGCTCACCGGTTGTTCTTCGGGTCAACCCTTCAGAACACCTGTTGTTTGACCAGGAGACCAAAACACACCAAAACACACCCTCCTCCTTTTGCCCATGGAACCTGAGGAACAGAAACGCAAGCACAAGTAGTTGGCTGTGGGACTACAGACTACTACAGACCAAAATAAGACGAACACCCTAACCCGAAACCCGAACTTGCGTTCTTTCCTGAAAAGAAGGCTTATGTAGACTCTTGATTAACATAATGGGATGCACTTCCTCGCTGAAGGCCGCCCTTTACCACATATTGTGGCGAGTATGGGTGGGATTGAAACATGAATTTGGACGAAGTGTACATGGCTTGGTTCCTGGTGTGGTGAAGCTACATGAAACCGAACAGAAGGAAAGCAACAAAACGACAGGCATTCCAAGAATCACCGTCACACTACGGAGGTAACAAATTCTGAATTATGTGGCACCTAATTAGACTCCGGATGAACAAGCAAATTGAGGTTTTTCTTTGCCCTCTGGCATACCTCTAGCTTGGTTGGAGGGACTTCTGTCCATTGTGGACCTGGTTGGCTGGGCAGATTTTCAGGCATTGGTGGGAGCGGCACTTCTGTATGAAAAAGCAGCATTAGGTAAATCAGGTCGTCTTAAAACTCCTCCCTCACGATCGGCTGAGAATGCCAGATTGTTTCAGCTCGAGGTTCCTTGCTTGCGGTAGACTGGTATGAGTCGTGTTTGAGAGAAAGTCTTAATATCTTTAACGATCCAACGAAAGGATTCTGCGATCATTCCCAAAGACCCTTGCTTCAGGGGAAGCATCTGAACACGAGCATCGGATAATTCACAACGAATCACTAGGCCTTTATCACGGACCTTGACAGGTAGGGTACGGCCTGCCCACAACATGAAGGAAAGTGCCAATTCAACCCATGAAATGCAAAACCTCTTCAAAGGGGGGGACATGTCGTTTTCTTGACTTCCAAATGATTCGATTCTAGGACAAGACCCGTTCAAGACCCTCGAACAGCACGAAGAACCTGATTCGCTCTCAACCCGTCTAGGGTCCACCCAACTCTTTGAAGCAAAGAAAATCCGTCCACCCTGCAAACGGACCACACCCAAAACGGTCCTTGAATCGTTTGCAGTTCGTTGTAGCCTTCACAAATGGTATCTCCGACGCCACAAAAAGGAATGTCTTTGGGCCCGGCCGCCTCGTCACCCATATAGATGGGCGTGACCGGGCAAGGATCTCCGAAGCCGACCTTCACCGGACACCGGTAGCAATCGCACGAGAAAAGGCCCTTCTTGCACATGGCGCCCGGGCCAAGCCCTTGCACCGGCGGTGGATAGCCTTTTCCGCCATAGGCATAGCCTTTCACGTATTCGTCGAAAGTGAGGTTCCCGCGATTCAACTGATGATAATACTCTGGCTTGTTGAAGGGGTGAAAGCCATGAGGGCCTTTGAGCTCCTTTTCTTTGTGAACCTGGCAGTCAACGGACGTGACAAACGAACCGGGAAGTCTGAAGGGTTGTGGGTTTCAAGTTCCCTGTTCATGTGGCTCATTGGAGGTCAAGGTGGTTTGGTCTTTCCAACACCCAAACATCGGATCCAAACATCCAGTGCGACCGCGAAAGAATCTGATCGGTGGCGCACTGCAAACCTTCTCTTATCATATCTGTTGGGTCTATCCAAGTCTACCAGGGCCTCAGTGGAGAATGAGTGGTTCAGTTCCAGGCCTTGTTCAAGATTAGTGATAATTCTTTGAATTTACTGACCGGTTACAGGCAGGACAAACCCATATCTGCTCTGCTGACTCGGGACATGGCGGGACCGAGCGAACTCACGTGGGGCACGTGGCGGAACTCACCAACGCAGGGTGCCAAACGTGAGTCACACGTGAAAACTGGAAACTTGGATGCACCTAACCAGGAAACTGGACCCATGTGGTTCAGGACGATATCATACACGAAGACCATATCCCTTCGGTGGAGCTCGTCTGCTAACTGCTTCAACTCCTCGGCAGTGCCAAAGTTTGGGTCGATCTTGTACAAGTCCTGCCCAATTTGAAAGGTCGACCGCGTTTTTCAAGCGAAATCTCTCCAGGACCAACAAATCAGAGTGCAAAAGAACTGACTGGGATGGCATGAACTGTCTTCAGGGGTGTGTGCGGGTTTGCTGCTTTCTCGCTTGAGTTAGTCAGTCCGTTGATTCCGTTGGTTGCTTCGTCCCTTCGTGCGCGGTCCCTTTGTTGAGTTCGTTCGTTCGGCTTTCGTTGGTTGGATAGTTTGGTTAGTCAGTAACGTTAGCTACTATCCAACCAAACTATCAAACATGGGACTATCAAACAAACAACCATAGTTAGCTACTAAAACAACGGACTCGTTTTCGTCGACTCAACTGCCACTCGAGTCGAGTCGGGTCTGGTCGGAATCGCGTCCTTGGCCCAGTAGCCATAGTTCCCATAGCCACTCCGGTTGTCTGGATCGGGACCATAAAACTGCAGGACTGCAGGAGTGATCCAAATCCCTTCAAAGCCCATGCCTTGAATGTAATCGAGATGTCGTGTGATACCCTGAAGAGTGCCATTGCACCATCCAGGTGCACTGCAATTGGAATAGGGCTGCCCTGGAGGAGGGTCCGCGAAGTAATCAGTGACGACAAAGTACAAACTCTTCCTCGGTTCTGGTATCAGCATCGGTTGAATACTGGAATGAGCGCTCACACATGCCATGTTCGCCTGACAGCAACTGCAACAATGCTCAACCAATCCACGAAAAGAACACCAAGCCTCAAGCAGAAACTAGTAAACACTGCGCAACAGCGCGCACACAAACACAGCTACACACGCATGATGTTCAACAATGCAAGCACTTCCCAGAACCCAATCAGCACCCCAATCGCTTCGCGGCCTTCCAAAAGCTTTGGTCCCCACCTTTTCCGGAGGACCGTCCGAGCGGAAACCAAAACAGAACGAATCACCACCGCTTGTAGCCACCGAAACCTCGCCAGGCGTCCCTCGGATATCTCGTGGTTTGTAGCCACGCGTGCCGTGCAGCATGAGCACGGAGGAGGCTTCACCTTCGCAGCTCTCCCCGTCGCAGGTCTCGACCGCCACATGGGCCACGGCCAGTGCGAAGAGAAGGCTCACAGAGAGAAGGCTCAAGGGCCCCATGGCTTTGGAGGAGACAGGAATGTTCATGCTAGGATGAAAGACCAAATGTTTGGATGTGAGGATGTGAAGTCCTGATCAAACATGACGTGAAACTGTCATAAGTCTGTTCGGTCGTTTCCTTTCTAAGCCGCAAAGTAGACCCACAAGTTTGCACCAGCTGACGGTCGAAAAAACAAGACTGAACACAAAAAAATGCAAACCAACCAACTCAACGAAGAGAGTTGTTCAGCGATTCAGCGGAGTTCATTTCACGACCTTGACACATCTTTGGGCGAGTGATGCCTACCTACAAATACACCAGTGTGAGATGTTTTCTCGACAATGCCATTCACACATTCTGCACATTGACATGATACAAATGATGCAAAAGGTTGAATTCTGCACATTCACAGCGTCTGCGTCGTGCCTCACGTCACGTGGCGGAGAAACGGATGCTGACCAAAATATGCCCAGGACATCCATCATCATCATTGTTATCATCATCATCATCATCATCATCATCATCATCATCATCATCCCCATTTAGTCGCCGGTGCTGAGGATGTTTTTCGCCAAATAAATCAAAATGGCCTCAAAAAACATTGGTTTAATTCCGTTGAAATATTGGGTTTAAGGCAGCTCGACTGTTCCATTTTTTCGGAATTGCTGTTTTGGAATTGGGGACTGCCAAACTTGTGACATGCTTGACACTGCATGGAATGCACTGTCTTGCGAATCAATCCACTGAAGGAAAACATTTTGCTAAGGGTCAGGGCTGGAGAAACAAGAGAACGAAAAAATAATTCTTGGGGCAAACAAGTTTGGCAAAGAATTGTTCGCCGCACCGACGACATTCACCGGGAACGTTCCGAACGCGGGGTCAGGCAGAGATGTACCGAGGCTCCAAGACCCTGAGAACGCCCATGAAAATAATCAATATGTTTCATTCTATGCGTCCTGGAAGCCAAAAATATTATACTGTATTGTTTATTGGTTTTATCGCTGTCGAAGAGCGATCATGGACATTCTAGCATTATACTATAATAGGATTGTCTAATTAAAAAGTGTTTGTTGGATAAAGAAAATTATATTGTCATTTAATGATGATATGATAAAGAAATATATATTAACATGCCATTGATTGGCAAGCATACAAAAAGGAAAGAGAATCAATGAATTGCCAATGGCCCCCGTTAAACTTATAGAAAAGATTGGAAAAATAAAAGGGATGAGTGAATGATATTATTATGGTTTTTGTTTTGTTAACTTATGGTGGTCTTCTTCATTCAACCTCGGAGTCATCAGATAAAAGCCGTAATCAATGATAATCGTAATTCACCAAAATGTTCCATTAACTAATATTAGAGAAGGAAAGTATTTGATCATTCATATTAATTCCGGGCACCCCCACCACTATATCGGGTGGATCTTGGGGCCCAGATGTGGCCAGGAATCCATCCCGCCTATCGATCACTTATATAAAGGGGATGGATTCTAAAGGTGAAGTTCATTATCTTCTATTTTGCCCTTATTTATACAGCTGTCAGCCCAAAAGAAATCGTGGAGACAAGAAGCAAAACTCGTCAACGTTTCGTCTCACGTTTCACATGACACAAAGCAGCTGATGGCACTCTCATCTTTTGACCACGGGGTTTGTGCGTTCAACTCAGTCTTGCGACTGGCCTTGGGTAGGCCAGAAGGGCACATAAGAATGACTGAGATGTCATTTAATGGCTATCAGCTCAAAAAGAATGCATGGTGCCAAGAGGTCACCATGGTTGGCTTCGAAAATGATGCGCTTTAATGCGAGCAATCGGAACCTGCACATACACGGAGACACGTGGTTTTCGTCTCGAAGCAACTGCAAAGACCAAGACGGAGGCAAACAGCATTGCGTCAAAGTCGTCAATGGTAAAACTGAAATTGCGTTGAAGCAAACGTAGGCTGTGCAAAATTGGCAGCTGGTGAAAAAGTTGCTGCAATCTATGGATGGATTGCGTGAGTTTAGGGGGGGTAGAGAGGTGGGACGATTTTACGCGAACGGATGGTCCCTTGACAACTTGGTCCCAAAAT